TATTACAGGAGTTTTTAATGCTCTATGCCACTCCCTACAAAGGCACCTTAATTTACACGCTGGAAACACATTGCTCTTCACAACTGTCTTTCTAATATTCACTGCAGCTCTTTCCCATACATAATTTCTTTGAGATAAATCTGGAAGGAAATATTGATTTTAAAACTTGACTCAGATGACCAGCAGCTCTGCTTTGTATTAAAAGTTATGTTCATTTCCTTGTCTTACATATTGAAGTCTAAAGCTAAAAGCAAGTTGATGGTATTGATCTAATACAGTTATCCAGGATGCAGGATTTTGTCCTCATTTAAAGCTGCTCTCACAAAACAGCATAGTATGATTAGCTGTAGAATTTAGTCCTAGTTGACTGGCAAGTACTTTCTGACAAAGTGCAGGTGACAGAATTATCTCCTTGGCATTTGTCTATCATGGGATGATGGGTTTATTTACTTTAGTCATGCACAGGGCACTGATAAATCTAACAAAAAAAAAAAACCCTACAAATTTAAAGAATGAATTAAAAGACTGTCAGCTTTACTTCACCATTTTATTTATTTATTTGATCCTCTAAAACGAAGGCCTCTATTTAGTTAACAATCTCTGTGATGGAATTGCATGCACCATAGGCTGAAGTCCTTCCAAGGGAAAAATAAGTCTCTTTCCATGCCCATCTTTTTATTCCCGAAATCCTGGCTACATATTATACTCTGCAAAAATGAAGAATTGGCCAAATTTGTCCCAGAAAAAAAGAAAACGAGAGAAGATTATCAATTTTTCCCCCCCTGCATTTACTATCCATGGTTTGTCTGTGCTTATCTAAGCCTCTGGAGTAATTTGTTTGTTTATTTATTTATTTATTTATTTATTTATTTATTTATTTATTTATTTATTTATTTATTGGTTCGATTTATACGCCGGCCTTCTCTGGAGACTCAGGGCGGCTTACAATGCATTAAGCAATAGCCTTCATACTTTTGTATATACCTGCTTAGTAGGGCTTTCAGGCCCCCCTAAGCGGTGTTCTTTTTTATACAAAGTCAACTTATTGCCCCCGCAATCCAGGTCCTTATTTTACCTACCTCGAAAGGATGGAAGGCTGAGTCAACCTTGAGCCTGGTGAGATTCGAACTTGCAGTAATTGCAGGCAGCTGGTGCTAGTTAACAGCACTTTAGTCTGCTACGCCACCAAGGCTCAATTCACTTCTCAACTCTCCAAAAAGAGTACGATTGCTATACAGCAGGGTCTCCTGCTTGAACAAGAGGTTGGACTAGAAGACCTCCAAGTTCCCTTCCAGAGCCATTCCATTCTTTCACTTCTCTGTAAACCTTTTACTTCCTAAAGAATCTGGAATTATTCTTGGCATCTCATCTGTCTCACCATCCATGGAAGATATTTTGCAATATTGTTTTAATGTTTGTTTTAATTGTTTTATAATTTTAGCCACCCAGAGTCAATTGGTTGAAGAGCATGGCTATAGAAATTGATTGAATGAATGAATGAATGAATGTCTATAACAGTCTAACGCAATATTCCCTAATTCTAAAAGATCTGGACTAAAGAAGAGAAGAGCAATCCTTTTAGAATAATAAACCACAATGATGGGGCAATGGGGCAATAAGCTGACTTTGTATAAATATACAAAAGTATGAAGGCTATTGCTTAACGCATTGTAAGCCGCCCTGAGTCTCCGGAGAACGGCGGCATATAAATCAAATTTTTTAAAAAATGATAAAACTAGTCTTAGGGTGAGGTACAATGATGGTCTTATTCCTCCTACGTATCAAAAGGAACGTAATGTTAATTTGTTTGCATGTGGAATAAATCAAATTTGGATTCTCCAGTTAAATATCTGTGCAAAACAATTACCTTTCAAACAAAATATATTTTGGGCCATGAAGTCGTTCAGGTGTTATGATGTACTTCCTGACTTCAAATTGCATACAAGCTGAGTATATATATATATAAAAATAATATAGTGAAATCTGTCAAATAAAGGTCTTATTCAAGGACCACACGCTGTCAAAAGGAGAGGAACAGTAGATTTACAAAAGCAGCCATTAAGCCCCGAAGGCCATATGCACCATTCCAAGTGCCACACCATTGACTCCAAACTCCAAGAGTTTGCTTCTCCATCAGGTGTTCTGTTCAAACTGCTACCGCTGTCAATTTCTTAAATTATTGGTGTTTGAAGAAAGAAAAAATAGAGTAACAAGATCTTCCACCCCACATTTGAGTTGTAAAAGGGTGCCCTTTCTGCAGGAAGCTACTTGTCAAATATTTTATAGCACAGTAACTTTTGTTTCCCTAACTCATCCACTCCTGGTGGCCTCATGCTCATCTCCAGCACTGTTAAAAATGAGATCTGTCTCTCTTATCCCAAGAATATTGCAATAAGTCCCGAGCTTTTAAAATATTGCTAACCTATGTTAATCCTCCATACTGATATATATCTTCTACTTTTTCTATAAAAGTTATTTTCATAATAACTCTATCCTGGGCACTCTGCAGATAGTCAGATATTACCCAAAAGAAACTTCAGCATGTGGGAAAGAGAAGCAGTGTTTGAAATCTTCCGATTTGAAAAATTCTCAGACTGGATAAAGACTGAGATGTATGATACCAATAGCATTTAGACATATATACCACTCCATACACAGGGGATGCAGTGGCTCAGTGGCTAAGATGCTGAGCTTGTCGATCGAAAGGTTGGCAGTTCAGCGGTTCGAATCCCTAGTGCCGCGTAACTGGGCGAGCTCCTGTTACTTGTCCCAGCTTCTGCCAACCTAGCAGTTCGAAAGCACGTTAAAAAAATGCAAGTAGGAAAACAGGGTCCACCTTTGGTGGGAAGGTAACCACGCTCCGTGTGCCTTTGGCATTTAGTCATGCCAGCCACATGACCACAGAGACGTCTTCGGACAGTGCTGGCTCTTCGGCTTTGAAACGGAGATGAGCACCGCCCCCTAGAGTTGGGAACGACTAGCAGATATGTGTGAGGGGAACCTTTACCTTTACCTTTACCATCCCATTGCTCTTTATAGCAATCTTTGGCAGTTTATAATGTAGATGTCAGTGTTTCAAGTAACACACTCATTGAAAGCAGAACTCCATGGCAGGTAGATTTCTCAAAGAACATGTTTATTGGATGCATTATATTGGCACAACCGGTGAAAACCAACTCTAAAAGTTCCCACAGTTTTCACCTAATAAAAAGAGTAAAACTCCTCTCCTCTCAGGTGTCACTAGTTACATTGTCCATGAATACAGCTGGCAGGTTCCTCTCCTCCTTCACCACCACCTGTTATGATGACCTTGGTTCCCACAGGAAAACTTTTTGTTTTGACTGTTAGCTGGGCTATCTACTTCCCCCCTCCCTTCTCTCTCTCAGGCTTCGTAGCAACTATTAGGCAGCACAAAATGGCTTAAGCCAGGTTCTTTTTAGAGTTGACAGTAGAAGCATTATTTTCCATATTACCCCCAACAATCTGGATCCCCATTTTATCAACCTTGGAAGGATGGAAGGCTGAGTCAACCTTGAACCTGGTGAGATTTGAACTGCCAAACTGCAGACAGCTGTCAGGCAGCAGAAGTAGGCTGCAGTACTGCATTCTAACCACTGTGCCTCCACTGCTTATACTACATACTAAATACTACCAATGCTTTATAAAGCCTTAGTAGGACCCCACTTAGAATACTACATCCAATTTTGGTCACTTTGTTATAAAAAAGATGTAGATACTCTGGAAAGAGCGCAGAAAAGAGCAACAAAGAGAGCTGGAGGCTAAAACATATGAAGAATGGTTGCAAGAATTGGGTTTGTCTAGTCTAGGGAAAAGAAGGACTAGAGGTGACATGATAGCAGTTTTCCAATATATGAGGGGCTGCCACAAAGGAGAGGGGTCAACTTATTTTGCAAAGCACCAGAGGGCAGGACAAGAAACAATGAACGGAAACTAATCAAGGAGAGAAGCAACCTGGAATTAAGCGGAAACTTCCTAACAGTGAGAACAATCAACCAGTGGAATGACTTTGCCTTCAGAAGTCATGGGCACTTCATCACTGGAGGTTTTTAAGAAAAGACTGGGCAGTCACTTGTCTGAAATGGTATAGGGACTCCTGCTTGAGCAGAGGGTTGGTCTAGAAGACCTTAAAAGTCCCTTTCAAATGTGTTATTCTTTTATTCTCTCTCCACCACACAGATGCCCCTGGATCTAACATCTCCCACTTTATGCATAGCATAGCATAGCATAGCATAGCATAGCATAGCATAGCATAGCATACCATACCATACCATACCATACCATACCATACACCATACCACTTTTGTTCTGTCCCCTCCCACGAGTGGCCTTGCAGAGGCTCAAATAGCCCAGCAGTAACAAACGCAGACTAGATAGACTGAAGCTGGCCCTTTAATAAATAGTTCTCTTCCAAAGCGTTTATCAGTCCAATAGTTACCAGGCAATGTTCCAAAGGCCTTGGCAGACAGACAGCAGGCTACTGCAGGAATGCAGGCTCTTGTCAAAACACTCCAGACTAATAGTTGTAAATCCACTAGATCCAAAACGCCAACAATTTGTTCACCACGCCTTTCCAGCCCAGTCACACTCTTTTTATACTTTGTAGGGTGTGGCCCTACATCTCCTGACCACACCTCTTGAGACGTGGCAATAGCTCTCTACGACGTCTCCTACGTCTCTCTCTTGCATCCAATAGGGGCTCCCCCTCGGCATTACCGGCCTCCGTTTCCTCCTCAATTTGGCTGCGGTCCAGAGGCACGTCAGCAACTGTCAGTTCTTGCTGACTCACCAGTGAAGATGGCCCCTCTGGCACATAGCTCGTGACAGCTTCCTCCTCTTCCATATTATCCTCCGACTCAGCATGCGAAGATAAATCAGCCTCCAGGGCCGGGGTCACAACAACTTTACAACTATACATAAGTATAGTAAAAATAACTTGCAAGAACATCAAAACCCAATGAGAACCCAATTAGTGTACTTACACTCAGGTTGAGTTGCCACCTTGATGGGCTGTGAACTTTCTCCTGGTCCCCATTCATTGTAGGCCACTACTCGGAAGGTATAGGTCTCTTCAGGTTTCAGATTCCCCACTGTAAGCTGGAGCAACCCAGATTGGGAGGTATTCAGTGCCCTCTCCCTAACCAAAAAAAGAGCAATGCAAGAAAACACAAATGTCAGGATGAAAAAAAAAAAATCCAAACTAATGTTCTAGGAGGCTTCATAAAATCATAAGGGAGAGAAAATTGAGGAATGGCTGTGATTAACTGTCTAGGGCTAAACAGAAGACGAAGGACTTTCTATCTTGCTACGATCATTATCATTTTATATACCTCTTTTTATTAGGTTCTCAGTGCAGTATCTAACAGCGAATCATCAATATCTTATCGCATAACAGAAAAGCAAAATCTAAAGCGATAAAACAAAAATACTGACAAGCATAAACTAAAAAAAAAAAAAGGATGGGAACAGGAGATTAAAGCACCAGCTAGTACTAAAAAAAAAACAAAAAAGAACCACTGAAGTGAAAAATAAAATAAAACAATGAGCATCTTGAATAGTTACAGAAAGAAAAATCCCCTCCCCTCAACTTCTACATGACATCTGTCCAAATTTACTATTTACGACACAGCAGCTACGGTACTTATTGTCGCAGTAAATTGGTATGAATATTGTGTACTGTTTAGAAATATATTGTTAAAAATATCAATCAACACAACTTTATGGTGTGTGGTAACAGTCGAATAATAAACATCTCACCAATTTTAACTTGGTGGAAATCTCTCCAGACAAGAACTCCTAGGTCTCTAGCTGTGCTGAGCACTAATAACACAAATCCGTATAGGATGAGGATAGAATATCACAGCCAGATGTGTATGTAGGGTTATATTAGCCCATCCAAAGGGATTGTGGAAATAAGGAGGGGAAATCAGAAACCTGGTTAGGCATGTTGAAGCTTATTAATAAAGGAAAAATAAACACAACACTTAACAACCTGTTGTTTGTTTCTCAAACAACATTCATAAAACAGATCTAGGTGGAATAAATGGATCGACTGTTCAGGAACTGAGTGAAGTTGTGTCAAATTTGTGAAGCTGTAAGAGGTTCATCTATCCACCTTCAAACTGTGGGCTTGTCCCCAAGTCAATGATTTAGGATTTAAGAGCAGGTTGAACAAATCAGATGGGTAATATATGTCATTAGGCAAAGCAAAATGCGACCTGGGACTTTGAAGGACTAGAACCTAGCACCCAAGTTGAGGAACAATCCATGTCTCACTGCTTCTAGTTCTGTACTTGCTCCAGATCTGACCTCAATGTAGGATCTATGCTACCCAGTGTCATATTTTGTGAGATGGGTGGCTATAGACCAGAGGTGGGTTCTAAATTTTTTTACTACCGGTTCTGTGTGTGTGGCTTATTTTGTGGGTGTGGATTATTTTGTGGGCGTGGCTTGATGGTCATGTGACAATTATTTAGGATTTAGCAGAGGTACTGATCTACCAGGCTGTACCGATCTACCCATTTATTTTTGCAGGCACTGGTCTACCCATTTATTTTTGCAGGCACTGATCTACTCATGTATTTTTGCAGGCACTGGTCTACTCATGCATTTTTGCAGGCACCGGTCTACTCATTTGTTTTCTTTTAACACTGATCAGCTGTAGGGCGGCCCTTTGAAGCCCCGCGGCAAGAGTTTAAACAGTTTTTTCCCCTCTAGCCATCAGCTGGGACTCAGGAGGCAGCAATAGATTAGGGGTGGGGCCAAATAAAAGGTAAGAATAATGCGGGGTTGGGGGGGGTTGGGGGGGGCTGGGGGGGGCAGAACCAGTTCAGTGATGTAATATCGTCACCGCTACTGGCTTGGTGGAACCGGGTGGAACTGAGAGGAACCCACCACTGCTATAGATGAATAGGATGGATGGATGGATGGATGGATGGATGGATGGATGGATGCTGGATGGATGGATCTTGACTGTCCCAAAAAAGCCTCCAACTGGTGAAGGACAGGGAACAATGAAGCACCACGTTACATGGACTGTCACTTGGGAACTTCCAAATAAATTAGTTCTTGCAATCACAGCTGAGCTGTGCTCAGATCCAAGCTGGGAATATTCAATTGCACCTGAAAGCAGAACAAGAAACTAATGGATGGAAACTAATCAAGGAAATAACCAATCTAGAAACAAGGAGAAATTCATTAGAACAATTAATCAGAAGTTATGGGTGCTCCATCACTGGAGGTTTTTAAGACAAGATTGGACAACCATTTGTTTGAAATGGTATAGGGTCTCTTGCTTGAACAAGGGGTTTGACTAGAAGACCTCCAAGGTCCCTTCCAATTCTGTTATTGAAAAAGGCAGCTGAACACTGCCCCAATGTGTGACAGCCTAACCCTATTTCCATCTTTTAACTCCAAATTATAATCACTTTCCTGAAAAGCCCACCTCAGTTATGCCTGTACCAATCAAAAACTCAGCTGATTTCAAACTATTATATAGCGCCTCTGCTAATTTCAACCCTGGACAATTATTGGCTCTTTGAGAAAATTTTGCAAGCTATGAGAATAACCTGCAGTCCTTCATAAAAATGTATGAAAATTAAGCCACCAGATTAATTTCAAAATCTGTCTCCAGGAAATTAGTTCAGGCCACTTAACATGGTTACTTGTCCATTTTCTTGTCCATGATAAACACAACTTTTCTGTCTTTGCTAGTTTCCCTTAAAAAAAATCTGTGAAGTTCCTATATTGCAAATAGCAGTTTTGGAAAAATATTTTTCCATTTGGAAAATTAAGACAATGAGAAAGCATTAAAAAGTTTGTGGATGCCCCTTCCTTGGATAATGTTAGTTTGAAATATTTTTTGAAAAGTAATTTAATAGTCATTTAATATTTCATTGCATTTGACCTTGTAGGAGATGTTCAGACTGTGCCCGAGGGAGGGATCAAGTGGATCATCAGTCTCGAGTCCCTTTGAGCCCATAAGAAATCTGAGTCCAGCCCACTTTGAATTCCGCTGTCTCTTATTTACTGCCTATTTGCTCTGACTATTAGTTCAGATTCTTGCAGAAAGCGCAAGCTTGCAATAAACCTTTATATTCTTTTGAACTGCCCGGACTTCCTGATTTTCCTGCACTTGACGGATACTATTTCATTGTACCAAAGTACTTTAGGTGAGTCTCTATTTGTCAGAAAAGTAATAGTGTTTATTTTTTTAACAACTTGTTTTGTTTGTTTTTTAAAAAAACAAAGAGTTTCATATTGTATGGAATCCTTGTTATGCTTTAGATCACCAATTAATGGCCCGAAAGAAACTAACTAATCTATTATCTCTATAATCTATTCTCTGGAAAGGAGAAATGGTAGCATTTTTCTTTCTTCACTCCCAACTTCCAATATTTATTTCATAACCACTCTTTAGGCTATTATTATATAAACAAAATTAAATAAGAAACGAAGCATGGCAAAAATTACATAATTTCAAATTTGCCCAAAGAAATACTGAGTAATGGGTTAAGAGCTCAAACTATCACAGACCATTAAATATGTGTCTGGGTGAGAAGTTTTCAAAACAAACATAGATACAAACAAGGTTTGTAATTCTGTCCATAATTCAGCAGTAATTCTGTCCATAATTCTTTTGATGTGCTCTGTTTTCATTGACATCACATCTGAAACAAATGCAGTGGACTCGACTTAATCCACTTGCCCACCCCCAAAGTTAAGTCATGCTTCGCTTCATTCTCATTACTCTCATCTTAGGTGCTTACTGGAAATATAGAGGCTTTCTACAAGGACTGCAAAATACAGTCATAAAGCCATAAAGAATGTTGATAACGGAGTCCCTGGAAGGCAGGTTAACAATGCTTAACTCCGCATGTCAATTGCAGCATCCGATCCCATTTGATTCCAGCTGCAGCCGTTCATATTTATTCACCGAAGATGTTCACTTGCAGTTAATGTTGTGCAAAGCAAGAGAATGTTTTATGCTACTCGCTCCCATTGCTGAAGCTTTTGTTCTTTTGTTTCACTCACATCGCCGCGTAGGGTGTCTTCTGAATTTTTAGACAAGGATGGAATAGATAGGATTTACGAAGGCTAAGAGTGATCTATGGGTTTATGTTTATCTTTATTAAAAGCTCCTCTGCAGTTTCTCCTGGCATTTGAAAAATATCCCAGGTTTGATTTTTATCCAATTTCTTTTCTTTCTTTCTTTCTTTTTTTTTTTTGACCTATTACATGTCAACATCAAGACGTGTGGGTGAGCATGTAGGCGTGTGTATAACTCTCATGAAAAATGAACAAGTTTTTCAACTGAACACACTGATTTTGCTAGCAGGTTTTACTCCTACCCTCAAAACGACGCTATAGAGCACTGCACACCAAGACAACTAGACACAAAAACAGTTTTTCCCCGAATGCCATCACTCTGCTAAACAAATAATTCCCTCAACACTGTCAAACTATTCACTAAGTCTGCATTACTATTACTATTAATCTTCTCATCGTTCCTAATCGTCCCATTTATGACTGCATGACTGTAACTTTGTTGTTTGTATCCTTACGATTTATATTGATATTGATTGTTTCCTAGTATGATTTGATTGCTTATTTGTACCCTATGACTATCATTTAAGTGTTGTACCTTATGATTCTTGATGAATGTATCTTGTCTTTTTATATACACTGAGAGCATATGCACCAAAGACAAATTCCTTGTGTGTCCAATGACATTTGGCCAATAAAGAATTCTATTCTATTCTATTCTATTCTATTCTATTCTATTCTATTCTATTCTAGTCTATTCTAGTCTATTCTAGTCTAGTCTAGTCTAGTCTAGTCTAGTCTAGTCTAGTCTAGTCTAAAGTTACTTTAGTGTACAGAGTTTCCAAAATCCTACATTTAGGTGATTTGTTGCTGTTGTTTAAAGTTGTGAATTTTATTGCAAATATTGAGAACAATAGTTTGGCTGACATAAAGCAGGAAAAGACAACATTGAAGAAGTTTCTTGGATGAGAAGCCAAATGTCTTCAAGAAGTGTGTGTGTGTGTGTGTGTGTGTGTAATATTCTGTACAGAGTAAAATAGTTTATCAGTATATTGTTAATCAAAGTGATTAGTACTGAACTGAAAACAACAG